CTGCGAGCAGGACTTCGACAAACAACTGTGCCCGAAGGTGTGTGTGGTGTGTGTTATTGTCAACACGGATGTCTGTCTGTCTGTCTGTCTGCGTGTGTGTAAGGGGTGGCTGCATGTGGGCCAAGGCACCTGCAAGGCGCCTGACGAGTACATCCGTAAGCACAACACAACTAACACACACACAGTGTCTGTCTGTCTGTCCATTGATGTGAGTGCATGTGTGTGTTGTGTGCAGCGCCTCGCGGCTGCCGGCCTGTCATCAATCTGCTGGGCTCACCCACACACAGAAGCGACAACTATGCGAAAGGTGGCTGAGCGGGCGTGAAATGCATTGCAATGCACGACACAGAAAGCCCAATACACAGATCCATCTGGGTATGGTCCGTCCGTCTGTCGGTCTGTCTGTCAGGAGGAAACGTACTGCAACAGAGAGGGTGTTGACTCATCGATGGGCGTCTGAGCATGAGTGGACTTTGTTCAGTTTTCACTTGTCGGTGTCTGCCAGGTGTGTCCGCACATCCACATCATACACTCTAAGCTTAGAGTCAACGGGCAGACAGTCAGACAGTCAGATCAGCGCAGTCACTTCGTGCATGCAGCCAGCCAGTGGAGTCAGTAAGTGGTACAAGTGAGGTGTGTGAGGTTAGCTGGGGGTGGCATGGATACCTATGCACACGTGCATCGGATGGAGTGCATCACAGACAGCGGCGAGCAAAGAGGGGGTGTATGTCATGCAGGCGGCCACATGCAGAATCCACTCACTGCGTTTAGTAAGTGGCGGGAAGAGGTGACGACACACACGACCGACCGACCGACCGACCGACAGCAATTGTTCCCTCCAAATGTGAAACGCTAGCTAAAGCCTCCATCCACCCCGTTCCCTCCGACTCGCCTTGCCTGCCTTGCCTTCCCACTGGTGGGGCTCAAAAACGCCCATGCACCCTGCCTGCCAGCCACGAAGACAGGCAGACAGACAGACAGGCAGGCAGGCAGACCGGCGGCCTCACGGTGTCCTATCGTACAAGTTATATACGAATGTGTTTGTATGTACCGATCTATGAATGTATGTATGTATGTCTGCATATCCATATATATATATATATGAGATTCAGTCATGGATCACGTAAGTATGGATAGAGGGCGACAGACGCGCAGATTGCTGTGAGCGTGTGATCGTTCGGTGTCCGCTCCGATGCTCAGCAAAAGATCAAGATGGGTAGATAGATAGGTATACAGATGCCTGTGAGACTTGAAACAGATCCTTTGCTCCCCCCAGTGAGCTCATTCTCTCTCCTCTGTTGCCTCCAAAACGGCCCACCGACCCTCGAGACTCGACACACGACATGAACAAAATTTCGCATCCGACGCACGCACTGTTCGTTTCTCTGCCTGCTTCCGCTTTTCTCGCCTCCCTTCCTCGCTCCCTCCGATCTTAAAAGCAGCTCAGCCACCGTCCATTTGTCGTCCCTGACCGATCGCCCGACGAACACATGGCTGGCCACACATCCTGACTGACACTCAGATTGACAGAAGGGAGACCGAGCCAGCCTTAAAAGAAGGCGGAGGCCTTCATTAGAAGGGCCACTGGTCTCCTCTGCCCGACAGACGCACAACGCCCAACACGCCGCCGACACACAGACAGTCGTTCAGAATGGAGAAGAAAAACGATGTATGGATGGATGGATGGATACAGACAGATGCAGACAGACAGACAAGGAGGCCTGGCTGAGCGGACACGAGTGAGGAGAGGAGAAGTGGGCGGAGTACAGAGCAGTGACGGACGAGTGAGTGCATTCATGTCATGTGTGCAGCAGCAGCACGTAAGTAGTCAGGGAGTTAGCGCACACGCACATGAAAAACTTTAGTTAGGCCTGAAAGGCATGACCTCCCGATCGTGCCTTTCGGGCCATTGATTGCACCACACCTGGCTGGCTCACCGGGAGAAAGAGGGAGAGAGGGAGAGAGTCGTCAAGCCAGGCAGGCAAGTGGATCGAATTGCAGGCAGACAGGCAGGCCACTGTGGGACAAAAATAACCCCTTGCTTACCCCTCCGAAGTATTGATGTGATGTCTTTCCACAGTAAGGATGATGTATGTGTGACAAATCACGTGGCATTGCTGACCGACTGACTGACTGACTAATGTACACGCCGCCATGCTCTTCTACCGAAGGCCTTCGCTCCCACAACGCACCCTCACACACGAACGAAAGCAGAGGGCCAGAGGGAAGGCCGACCAGCACCGGCAGACTGCCAGGCGGGCGAGCAGAAGAGATGATGTGCGATGGCTGGCTGTGCTGGACACCCACCCCATCGCTCGGGCCCCCATCAATCCGTCCCTCCCCCACTTCTCATCTCATATGGATACATACGTACAGATATCTATCTATCTATGTGGAGGGAGGGAGGGAGTTAGGTACAAACATTCATTCACGGATGTATACACATATTCATTCATAGGCTCTCTGAGTGAGTGAGTGAGTGAGTGAGGAGGGAGGGACGTACAGACAGACAGAGGCACAAGTCAGTCACTCATTCGTTGGTTGGTCATGCACTCTTGTTCTTGCAAAACCGATCTGTACAAAACTGCAGGCAGCCAAACCCAACCCCTCCCTCCCTCCCTCCGTGCGCACCCCTAGTCAATCGCTCTCAATGTCCATCCATCCATCCATGGGTGTGTAGAAGGGTAGCTATGATATTACGCATGCGTCATCCTGCGGTCTCTGTGTGGGTGGCGATGCGGCGAGTGCGTTGGCCATGGCGCTCATGTAAGTGCCCTTGCCGATGACGGCCCTCCGCTCCAGATCGTGCAGGTGGCCCAGTGAGCTCCGCAGCGGCAGGGCCTCCATCTGGTGGTGGCGACTCTGCAGGTCTTGGAATGTCAGCTGGCGACCAGCCGGGGGGTCAGGACGGTCCTCAAACACAATGTGGATGTCGCACAATGGCATGCTCAGCATCTCGTCGCGGAATGAAACCTGCCCCCATACATCCATCGACAGCGACCACATGGGCATACCAATGAATGCATATCATCCACCCCACCATTAAACAGATTGGTGGGACCCCCCCGCCCACCTTGTGTTTCTTGCCGTTTCTCGATATCCGTGTGCCGTGTGCGTCGAAGCGCATCTTCCTGCCCCGCGCGTCGAACTTCTGGAGCCGACCGAAGCTATCGGTGGGCATGGGCGGCCCGTGCACCGAGGACATCTTGAAGGCCTGCTTGCCAAGCGGCTTCTTAAGCCCCTGAGCCGCCCCGCCCTTGCCCTTGTCCTCAGTGTGGATTGTGTACCCCCCCCCACCGTTCCCCTTTTGGCTGAGTCGGTCCAGGAAGCCGTCCTTGCCCTTGTGCGCATGCACCCATGCGATGCAGGTGTGGGGCGACTTGACGCTGGGCGGGGGCTGGAGCCGCAACGCACCTTCCGAGCATGCAGTCGACACCTCCGAGTAGTCGGATGGCGGCTGGGATGCAGATGACCCACACTCAGTGGGCGATGCGGACGAGTCGACAGTGGATGACGAACCGGCCTTGTCCAGGGCCGTTCGATGGCCCTCGTGGGAGTCCAGACTCGCGCTGTGGCTCCGCTTGGTCTTAAGAAGCTCCACCGAGTCCACACGACGCATGAACGGCCGAGCCACACACCCACTGTCATCGTTCGCCGTGACATCATTCGTCGACATGCCACCCACGGCAGGGTTGGGCACTGCAGGGGCAGCTGCAGTGAGCGAGAGACCATTTGCCGTATGTGTGGCCTCGTGGGTGGTGTCGTCGTGTGTGTCCCGCTGCGTCTCGATGGCAAGACTGGTCATCCGCCCGGTGAGGAGGCCGATGGAGTGGCTCATGATGTCGGTGCTCTTGGCAGGGTATGCCGTCGACCGCTGGTGGAAGGCCACCTCGCCCTTGTTGTGGGTCCGCAGCCGGATCTCCCGTGGCGAAAAGGGTCTCAGGCTGAACTCACCACTCGAGCGAGACGAGGATGAAAACGAGTCACTACGGAACAGACAGACAGACAAGCAACACACACGCACATGAATGACGTGACGTGCACCGACCGCATCAGTGCTGACTGACTGACAAGACACATCAGGGAGTGAGTGAGTCTCTGTGGGAGGGACGGCGTACCGTACCTATCTGAGTAGGTCCGTACGGTTGACGGGTCGGGAATAGGGGGGAGGGGCGAATCATCATCATCTGCATCATGATCATGCTGGACCCCTTCCCCCACACGACCACCCATCTCCTCAGCCTGCTTCCGTGTCTCGGGGTCCTCCATCTTGCCTCCCAACTGCCTCAAAAGCTCCCCGCCGCGGTGAGTCAGTCAGTCAGTAAACCAGCAGAGGAATGAGATGCCGGACGTGCTCAGTCAATGCCTCGCGGGCTGATGCGGCACTGCGGCGACAGGGTGGGATGCGCGATGTGCTTGGACCAGCAGCTGCGATGTGTGATCCACAAAAATAACAAATAACACAGCTGAGCAACAGTTGCAGCTGCGCATATGCGGTGGGGAGATATCCTTCGTCCTCACAAAAGGAGAGGGGAGAGGAGACAGCCGCGCTTCCCTTCCAAGCCAAGCTCGCCAGAAGCTCGCGCCTTCTTGGATCTTGGAACTTGGCGCTCCCTGCGCCCGCGCCAAGCAACTCATGGACGCGGAGGAGGAGTCGCTTGAGCTGCTTCAAGATCTGCAGGCGTCGCTTGATCACTACAACAGTGAGTTGAAGGAGAAAACAGATTGTCTACCGCCGCCCAGGGCTGCGCTTGTTGAGGCCCTCTGCACTCATCTCGACAAGTCCGCCACCGAGCTGGCCAATGTCCTCCACAACTGGAACCAGCCAGCTGCTGCAGCGGCGGCACCGGAGCCGTTGGCAGAATCCGCTGGAGGTGGGCTGCCTCGCTCTAGATCCAGGGGCGACTCTGCTTTCCCAGATGACAGCACCGTACCGAGTAGGCAGCATACATATATATGTTGCCGTTGGGGTCTGCCAACCCCCCACGCATGTGTGGTGTTTGTTGCCCATGGATCAGATTTCGGGAGTGTTGCCGAGATGCTGTCGTCTGCTGAGGGGATGGTCATGGCGGATGAGGGAGGAAGGCAGGATGTAGGCGGGGCATCCCAGGCGCCCGCCCCACCCCAAACTCCGCCCGATGAGGTGCTGGCCCGCCTGCCCGACCATGTGAGGCGCCGGTGGGACATGTGGACTGGCAATCCGGCGGCATTCAGCCTACAGGTCAGTCTACCACGGACGCGTGCAGGCAGAGTAAGAGGTGCAGGCAGAGCAAGAGGCAGAGAGAGTAAGAGGCAGGCAGGCAGATCAGGGGACACAATACATGCGCGATGACCGTGGGCTGTCGACTCGCGCGCAGTATGTATGGGTCTGTGAGTGTGCTGCTGTATGTCCCCGCATGCAATGCATGACAGGTGATCCGTCAGGCGATGCAGCGTCCCTTCAGCAATGCATATCTGTCGGGCGACCCCTCCAGCCGCAACACCACACAGCTCATCCTGCCAGCACCGAACACATACCTCTCACTCAGGTGGGTGGGTGGCTGGCTGGCTTGCTGGGTGGGTGCCTCGCTGCCTGTACAGGCAGCACACACATCCGCACACCGCGGCCGATCGTGTCTGTCCTGTCTGCCTGTCTGCCTGTGTGTGTGTGTGTGTATACTGCATGAGTAGGTGGCATCGCACAGTGTCCCGCGTGGGTCTGCCTGACGCGCCACCCCCACCGGCAGAACTCAGAGAGGGATATGCTGCTGGTGAGGAGGAAGGGATGGGGCTGGGAGCCGGCAAGACACTCATGGGATGGGACTTGCTGTGTTTGATGCCTCCATCGTTGCAGCTCTCATCCGCGATGTCGTCGAGCAGGCTGTCAGTCACCCAGATTACGTCAGTCAGCCTGACCGATATCCCAGCCTTCAGCGGGCTGTGGCTCTGTGCACAAAAAGCCACCAGTCTGACCAGCAGCCCAAGTGATCCCTAGGGCTCTGGTCCTTCATTCCCCTGCTGCTGTCGCGGCGCTTGTGCGTCTGTCACGGAGTGACTGTCGGTGTGAGAGGCATTTGTTTGAGCTGGGCTGGACAGACTCTATCTCAAAAAACGTGCTAAAGCTTGCTGCCGTGAAAGCTATCGATATTCTCCGCGAAGATCTGAGTGTGACAGAGGCCTGCAGGCGCAGATGGAGGAGCCACCGTCAGATTCGGCGCAGATGAATGGCCCAGCGCCCGTCGAAAAAGTCCTCGAAGAACAAACGGCCACACAACGTTGATCACATGACGCATGTGCTGATTGTTCCCTGGTGCAGAAGGACGAGGGCCAGCTGGGAGCCACCATCGTAACCGGCGGAACAGTATTCCGGTAGGCAGGCAGGCATTGAATGCGCCACAAAGCGCCGCCTCTCGGACAGACAGACAGACAGATAGACCGACGACCTCCCAGCCAGTCAGATTCAATACGTCTGTCTGTGTATCTCTGCATACATATGTGTGTCATGTGTGTCTGAGATTGTGGGCCCCTTATGCTGAGAAGGTGTGGGTGGTGCTCAAGGGTCAGGACAAAGCCGAGATGAAGAAAGAGGGAGACAACAACCTCTGGTCCGTCAAGGTGGATGGCGTCGGTGCAGGCGCCGTCTACTCGTTTGAGATTCAGGTATGGATGTATGTTTCTATAGTACTGGCTACACACACGGCCATCTGCTCTGCCATGGCCGGCCTCTCATGACGTGGATGGATGGCTGGGTGTGTCGTGCAGCCCTTCTGGAACGATTGCTTCCACACCGAGGGCAAAGTTCTGTCCCGAAGAGATCCATACGCACGGCAAACAGACTTCGACAGCAATGACTGGTACGGTACCCACAGGCACCCACACCACGGAAACACAGACAGACAGACAGACAGTCAGACAGACAACAAAAGAACAACAGCTCCCTCCCACACTCTGCTCTGCAAGGCACTCACTCACTATGTATATGTGTGTGCGCGTACATGTGTGTGTATGTTGTGTGTGCAGTGTGGTTGTCGACCCATCGTATTATGAGTGGGCGCCATTCTCAGCGCCAGGGTGGTCTGAGCTCATCATCTACGAGCTGCACTGCGGCACCTTCACGGGGAGGAACGACGGACTGGACCCCAACAACGCATTCAAACACATGATATCGAAACTCGACTACATCAAAGACCTCGTGGGCGGGCAACACACATACATACATTGCGTGGATGTCGATGCCTGGCCTTTGCTCTGTGCGTGCGTGGGTGTGTGTGGGTGTGGGTGTGGGTGTGGGTGTGTGTGGGTGTGTGCAGGGCTTCAACTGCATCGAGATGATGCCTGTGCATGAGTTTGGCGGCCAGTGGGGGTACAACCCACGGCTGCTCTGCAGTGTGCACGGCAAATTCGGCACCAGTACCGAGCTCCGGGACCTTGTCAACGAGGCACACAAGAAGGGCATCGCAGTACGTGTGCATGCATCCACACACGCACGAGGGAGGACCAACAGGCAGAGAGAGCACCACTGGCTGGCACACTAGGGAGGGAGTGAGTGAGTGAGTGAGTGACGGATGCGTCTGTCTGCATCTCTGTTTGGTTGAAGGTCATCTTTGACGTCGTGTTGAACCATGGGTCGGCGAAGCTCAACAGCCTGTGGAATCACGACGGGTACGGCAAAGACAAACAGGTACGCACACGCACGATACAGCCTGACTGACGCACAAAACCACGATGACCAAGGACATAAGGGAACCAACCAGAACATCCATCCACCCACTTATCCATCTATCTATCTGTGTGTGCGCTTCAAGGGTGGCATTTACTTCGAGGGCGGCGAGGACACCCCTTGGGGAAAGAAGGTGAGAGAGACCTAAGGGCAGGAACGCCCAGGGCGGCAACATATGTATGTATGTATGTATGTGTGTATGTGTGTGGTCAATCAAGTTCGCTTTTCACAAGCGGGAGGTGCGCGAAATGATCAAGGCATCAGCCAGAATGTTCATAGAAGAGTACAAGTGAGTGAGGGGGAGGGAGTGAGTGCACCCGACAGACACGTCGAGTGCATCTATGGCTGTCTGTGTTGTCTTTGCCTGCTTCCCTCCCTTGTCTGTCTTGTTTCACTGCAGTGGCGATGGTTTGCGCTTCGACAGCGTGCACAACATGCCGGTAGGCTCTGTGTCTGACATCCACGTTCACTCACTCACTCATACCTTGACCTTGATGCCTGCTTTCTTGTGCCGCATATATCCCACGGGACGGCCGGCCGCAAAGTGGGACCTGTTGCAGGTTTGACCACGCCCATGCGGGCATTGATTGACTCGCACCGGGCACTAACTAGATGTGTTTGTCTGCCATCTATGTGTCGCGAAGGAGATTACCGGCGACATGCGGCACCGGTACCCAAACAAGATCAAAATTGCGTGAGCATCATCTAGCTACCGCACACGCACACGCACTCAGAGCTTCCGTCCCTGCGCCCATGTCAATCAATCGATGTGCCGACTGTGTACGGTGCAGTGAGGTGAATCTGTGAGTGCAGTGAGAATGTGACTGAGGGTATGACTCGGTCTCTGGTTTGTGAATCATTCCAAGGTCACTCCGGAGCATCCATCCATCCTCCACTCGGCAGGAAAGGCTCAGCTCAACCTGGCACACACGCACACAAGCTGTTGGTCCAGGCATCCATCCATCTGTCTGTCTTTTCTGTCATCACAACAGGTTTCGATTGTTGCTGGATCCACGCGACCTACTACGACACAGTCAAGATCATGCGCGACGAGGAGCGCGAACACCACATCGGCAAGATGATGGTATGTATGTGTCAACAAATAAATGCCTGCACGTCTTAAGAGGTGTGCGTATGTGGACGTACACATGGCCTGCCTTTCCGTCTGGCATTCGTGTCCTCAGGCCATGATCAATGGGCACGGGTGGGTGGGTGATGTATGTGGGGATTTGTCCATAACTTACTGCAATAATACCAGCCTCATGCCATCACTGTTGGATGTGTCTTGTCTGTCTGTCTTGTCCTATGGTGGTCAGCGGCTTCAAGACGTCGCATGAGAGCTGCAACTCTATTCTCGGCAGCCATGATCAGAATGGCAGCAAGAAGGGGGGTCAGTCAGATGGGCGGGTGGGACGCTACTTCGTGGATCTCTTTGGAGGCCGCAACAACTGGTCTGCATGCTCATGCTAGAGGCGTGACGAAACTTTGCTGTGTTGGTCTCTCTGTTCTTCAGGCACGCTCGGGCCAAGTGCCGAATGTGGTAAGACACACACACGCACCTGCACACACTGGTCAAGCAACTCGCTCATTGTATGTGACAATATGTGTGGGGTGGCAGGTACGGGCTTCAGGCATTCAGCAGAGGCCTTCCGATGATCTTCATGGGCACCGAGACGCATCAGGGTGGATGGTGGGATGCCAATCCGTCCCAGGCATTCGACTGGGGCTTGCTGGAGGACCCCATGGCCAAACAGATGAATGCACTGGTGAGAGGGAGGGAGGGAGGGAGGGAGGGAGGGGGCTGCTGTAAGGAGTGAGCCAGCCAGCCAGTGACTGGCGGACAGCTGCTTACTTGTCTGTCCTGTCTATTTGGGCACACTTCTTTCTTCCCCTTCTTGACCGCGTGTTGTGTTGTGCGTGCAGGTGAAGAAGGCGAACGAGGTGCGGCTGGCCCACAAGGCACTGACAACCGAAAATGAAGGCGTCAACTTCACTCACAAGGACGGAGGACACAGAGTGCTCGGTGGGTTTGCAGAGAGAGGCTGCCAGGCCATTCGTTCACAACAGCAGGCACGGCACGGCATAGAAAGACTGCAGACGATGAATGCGGCTGTGTGCCTTGCCATGCATGCCATGGATAGGCTTTGTGAGAGGCAACATCCTGTGTGTTGTCAACGCATCCGACAAACAATGGGAGGACAAGGTATGAGGGAGGGATCGATGCTATCCTTACTTACGTCCATCATGACCGCCTCACTGCGGATACATGTGGTCTGTCTGTCTATCTATCTATCAGGGCTACGGGGTTCAGACTCCTTTCGCCGGCAAGACCGTCACGCACGTCTTCAACAGCCAGGCCGAGGAGTTTGGGGGGTGGGCAGGTTCATGGACAAGTGACCAGCCCATCCAGGTGGGAGGCGATGGCAAAGTGCACTGTACCATTCCCAAGTGGAGCTGTTTGGCATTTGAAGCCTCATGAGGTGCGAGTTGGTGGCCATATGCATGCTCACCTGCGATTTTCTCGTCGGCTATTCGGATGGCAGTTTTGACCTTTAGGCAGCCAGCAAGGGACTAGCTAGTAGGGTGGACCTTCTGTGATGGATGCATCCGTGATTCATTCATTCATGATAAAGAAGTTCGCACCGCTTCACCGGCATGCAGAAGCATGACCTCAGAAAAGAACTCACGTCTGTCTGATCCATGCATAGCAAAGTGCTCAGGCAGATCAGTGTCTGTCTATGCACATACGTAGACCCATTTCGCCACTTCGTCGGTCGGTCGGTAGCTCGCTACGGCCGACACCCACGCCTTGTGTCGTTATCTATATCGCCGGGTCTATGTCTCCGTCATCTCCGTCATACCATTCGAACCGTGGGGCCGAATGCTGGTCCTGCCATCCCCTGGTCTTCCTCTCTTTGTGCGCGCGTGACGCCCATGGCCTGGAGGACGCTGACGCCCAAATCACCCAGGATGGAGTTTGGGGGGGCAGCAGCTGCTGGTGGTTGGTCGGCCTCATGGATGTTGCGGGACCGCTCGGCTGCTGTCATATGGCCAGTGACAAGCACTTGAGGTACCTGACAAACACGGTTAGCTGCGGTGAGTAAGGGACACAGCCATGTCTACTCACCTGCGGCGGGTGTTTGTCGAGGTGGTCCTTGGACCAGAAGACGACAGCAGAGTCGCCCTGGAACTGTGTCTTCATAATGTGGGGCTCAGTCTTGACCAGCGCCTCCGCCACCTGTTGTGTGTAGATAGCGCACATGCACAGCAGATGCTGTCTGAGTGAGGTGTGTCGCGTGCAAGTGTGTGCGCGGGGATGGATGTGCTTGTGTCAGCCAGCCACCTGCCGCACGACACTGCTCGTGAGGTAATACCTGGAGGGAGGGAGGGAGGGAGGGAAGGCAAACAACACAGCACCCGCGACTGCTCGCCTGCCCCCATGTCTGCTTGCTGTGTGTGCTTACTTGTATCTGGGGAGGCGTTTCTGTGCTTCCCTTTCGAGCACCACCAGTGTGGGGCCGCGGCCCATGCGATTCTGATCACGATGCGACTGAATGAACAACCAACACACACGTGCACAGTCGCTCATCATCATATGTAGATTGGTGCTAGATTGATCTGTCGACTGCCTACCTTTTCCTCAATGATGTTTTTGATGGTCTCCCACACCATGTCGCTGCGACGACGATTGCTGGCCATCAAGTATAGCTGACACCACACACATTCACAGGTGGAGGGAGACACGTGTGTGCGTGTGTGGTTCACTCACCATGCCTACTACTGACCCCACGATGGTCCCGCCGAAGGTAAGATAACCGATAAAATGCCAAAACCTGACACACGGTTGCACAGGCCGTATGGCGGACGGCACGGCATACACTTCGTATGTGTGTCGCGTCGGTCACCGTACCAGCAGGATAGTCGTCGTTTGGCGGTGGCCGCCCTGTACTTGATGAGCTCGGGGGTCTCCCACAGCCCGTTGTCCTTCCGAACCATGCCATACCGGGACACTGATCGACCGACAACGAGCACCAAAACCACGCCAAAGACGACCAGGCGGGCAGAAATGGCTGGTTGCTGCATTCATTCTGCCGTGTCTTACTGACATTTGGTGTATGCCTGGTCGCTTCTATCGAGGAGGAAATCGTCGAGGGCCACACGCACGCACGTCGATGGGTCGCCCCAGCTAGAGGCACAGTGAGCCTCCACGAATGCCTGAAGAGAGGAAGGCGACCGACAACAGATACAGCCTCGATGGATGCACCCGATGCATGAGACTGTTCGATTATCGACGGTGGTGCGTCAATCACTCATTCATTCACCTTGGCTTCCTTGAGGTTCATTTCGCCCTCCTGCGTGATACCGCACAGGCGGTCCCCCTCGCGATATGCTAACGCATCACCCAACGCCTGACAACAAACACACATACGAACGCATGACAGTCGGCCCCTGACAGAGGTGCCTGAGTGCACTGGAGTGCACTCACTTGCAGGCCTGTGTGAGCCTTCGATGCAGCCACACGGTCAGCCACACACTGACGGCCCAACTGAACGACAGACAGACGGCCGCCTGCTGCCCTCATTCTTTGCACCTGCCCTCCCTTGTCGTGCTTCGTATACGGCATTCACCTGCAGGTACTTGGGGTCACACGTAAGCTTGCCGTCGGCACAGGTGCCGTGAGGCGGGCATGGTACGCAGCCCGACACATCTGCACTCAATGCATTCCACTCAATGCATTCCAAGTGGATGGACAGTAGTGGTGCCAATATTAATGTGGATATCTCCCCCTCCCGTGTGTGTGTGTGTGTGTTGCCGCTCACTGTTCTGTCCGTTTGTGTTGCAGAAGGTAATGCTCTGCGCCCAGTAAATAACGGGTATCAGCAGGGCCATCACACACACCACCCCACCCGCAAACCAACCACGCCTGACCACATATGTACATACGCACGGGAGTCCATGCATGCGTCCGTCCATGAGCCAACAAAGGACCGATGGATGGGCACCTGATCCGACATCCGCTCGGCCACCTATGTGTCTTATGCATCGCTTCCTTACTTGTGTTGGTCCTGCACCCTGTCTGTTCGTGCCACGGCCACGGCAGGCGGTGCTGCAGTGGTCGTGGCGCTCCCTCGTGGCCCGTGTGTTTGGTGACGGTGAGCTGAAGCACGTCGACAAGACGGACTGCCCCCGCGATGACTGGCGGCCGCGGGACGGGAGCTGACACAGGCCATTGGAACACATGAGTCAATGGATAATGATCGGCCGACATGGACCAACAATGGATACAAACGGCAGTGCCCGCCTACCGTGGCAGGGGAGGCGGCTCGACCACAGGGAAGTCGACCTCACCTGCAACAGACGCACACACGCACACAAACATACCCACACATACACGCACACACACACACACACAACACGTGTGCCGACGGACATGTGCCCCCCGGTCCCCCCCTTGGTTATCTACATCTGTGTGTCCCTCGGTCACTTGTGCTCACTCACGTCCATCTGGTGTGAGGGTCTTTCTGGCCCCCTTGAGTTTCTTCCTGGGTGGCCGGCCCATCGAGTCCTTTCCCTCGCCGAGCTCCAGCCCAAGGCCCCCCGAGACCTCATCCCCGCCACCATTCGCACGCCCCTGCCGCCCTGCTGACGACATGGCGGCCCGACCAGGCCTTGCTGGGGGGCCCTCCTCTTCTTCTTCCACCTCGTGGTACTCGTCCTCGTCTTCATCATCCTCCTCCTCCTCGTGGTAGTCGTTATCATCTGTGGTACGGTGCTTGAATTCATCAGGGGCAGGGGTCGGCGGACGCCACTTCCTCCGGCGGCGGCCGTGGCCAGCACCAGGGGGAGGAGTGCCACACACCGACCCTCCCGCTGCTGCTGCGGCGGGTGGGTGGGCAGCTTCATCCCCCTCATCGAGGTCCTGGTCCTCCTCCGCGTCGGCACCGCGTTGGGATTGCAGCGAGCTGGGCGCGAATGCCACCTCCTTTGGGGATGCCGACCTGGCGGTGGGACGCTTCACTCGACCCTGAAAGAACCAAGACCACAGCAATAAAGAAAGGAACAGTCACTCACTCACTCATTCACGCACACGTGTGGGCATGCGTCCATCTGCCCCACCGCAGCAGCTGTGCGCCTCTCTCTCGGCTTTGACGGTGTCCCTCCCTCATCTTTGACGGCGTCTGTCCGTTTCCGCCCCTCCGAAGGTGCCTTTCGCTTTCTGCGACGGAGGGCCTTGTCGTCGTCATCCTCATCCTCATCTTCACCGACCTCGTCATCCGCTGATCCTGACACATAGATGCATTAGACCAACACCAGGTCTGACTTGCGAATGCATTCATTCCATCATGCAGTCACCTCACCCACCATGTGCGTGGGCGAAGCCAAGCGATGATACGCGGCCTCTCCGTTTGGCCGTTGCGTGCGAGGCTCCTGTGGCCGCCTGTGCTGCGGCAGGTGAGTGCCTTGGGGCCGCTGTCTGCCTCCTTTGCCGGGACAGCGCCGCGGCAGCAGCGGGCTGGCTCCCGGAGGGCCGCTTGCCGAAGCTGGCCTCACATAAGGCTATCAGTTTGCCCTTCCGAGGTGCATCTGGCAGGTCGATGTCATGGGCGGTGAGGAGCGACTTGAGTTGCTGCACAGTCAGATCCGCATAGTCAACAATGGCATCAAGCGGTGGCGCAGACATCGATTCTTGGACAGATCTGCAGCTGCGAGCTTGAAATCTCCCACTGCGATTGAATTCATCTTGGCGTGTTATTGGACGCAAAAGGTCGGAAGGGCGGGGCCCAGAGGCGGTCGTTACGTGGAACAAGTCAAAAAAGTGAATGCGGTCCTATGGCATTGATAGATACGACAGACGCTGCCGCCCTAGCACCCTCATTCGTCTTCGTCAAGATCGTCCTCATCAAACTCGATGGCACCGCCGTCTGCCAGCTTCAGCTTTTGGCTCCTCCGCGCCTCCCTCTCCTCACGCTGTCGCTTGTTCTCTAGCGCCTTCTGAAAGCACATACATACATACATCACTTTCATCCACCCGCACCGCTCCCCAAACGCAACTGCGCACCGCTGAAAGAGGCCGCTCCCTGTGCCTGAGGAAGGACAGATCCACTCCAGGAAGGCAAGACGCAAGACCCTGAGACAACACACGGGGGAGGACGCATCAATGCAGGCAGGCAAGCAATCAGTGATCAGGACAGCAGTAAGTGAGTGGCTGGATAGCTGCTCACCACGTCCAGGTCGCCATCGAACAGTCGGACCAGATTCCAGAAAACCTGCGTGCGACACACGGGAGAGTGGGCACTGATGGTGTCGTGTCGGGTGGTCATCTTTCAAGTACGTGCCCACACGCCCGCCCACAAGTTCGGACCAGCGGGTTGCACTGCGCCATGTCGACTGGGCGAATGTTTCGCCTGACATGTTGAAGTGTCCACAGAAACACAGCAACGCAGAGAGCCATGTGAGCCGCATGTGTGTGTCAGCTGTTGGGAATCGCTTGGCGGTGGACCTTTGCTCATCCTCGCCGGAGTCCCACACGGCCTTGAGCACTGACCCAATCAGGACCTTGGGAAACGCTGCAAGGACAGCGCAAATCTCCACTTGCTGTTTCTGGACATGCTGTGGGCGACGTACCAGTGTACGTTTCTCGTGTCTGCTTTCCGTCGTTGTCGAATGTCACGGTGAACTTCTGCACGGCCGCCCCAGCAGCAGCAGGTTGCATCTGCGGCAACATCCAGTCACAGGCACAGCAGGAACGTCGCCGCACGTCCAATCAGCATGTCAGCTGGCTAGAGGTGGTGTATACCTCCAGCTGGTACGTTCGGCCCATGACAGCCTTGTAGCGCTGCTCGCCAAGAAGCTGATCTGTCAACCAGCAAGCCACCGGAACCCATCACATGCACAGGCACCATCGCGCCACCCAGAGCGCTCCCGTGTACCATATCGCCGGTTGAGAGCATTCTTGAAGACGCCTCGGAGCTCGCGGTCCGTCGCGTTGAGCTGTCCGCTATTCTTAGTCTGGGAACGGGAAAGAGAGAGACAAGGAAGAGAGAACGGGGGGGGGGGG